CTTGGCGTTGATGCATCGCTGCATTGCTAAATTATTTTATGTTATAGTTATCGTAATTGTTTGTGCTTATGCGTCCCCAACTTCTCAATAAATATTAAGTCCGTTTATTTTTTTTTTCTTTGAATTTTTTTTTTACCATTGTAATGATAAGATTGCGACTACTATTATCAAACACTCAACGGATAAAAAATTTCGTCTCCATTTGGATGACACTTGAAGAATAGATCAGCAAACTGTCCAGGGAGAAATTGCGAGCAAGAGTGAATCTCGAAAACGGACGCATAAAAAAATGTGTTTAGACAGTAGCATAATAATCTACCTAGTCGACAATAGTGATCTTGGTTAGGCCGCTACTTTTTATTTTTCAATTTCAAGTTATAAACTACTCAGTCAATTATTTCGTATCAAATATTATGTAAGATGCGGGCGATAAAAAAGCTTTCAACATGATTTTTCGATACCAAAAAAGAAAAAATCATTTTAAAAGATCCAGGTCCTTCTGTACCTGCCGATCTTTGATTTGAATTCTAGCATAATGCATTTTTTATAAACAAAATTTCTCATGGTCATTTTCAGGATGAAAGTCGTTCTCACTAATTTACGGTTACTTTGGTGTCAGATGTCAATCAATTAATAATTCGGAAGCTCCGCAAATTCATTTGAAAAAGGCCTTGAACATAACAGAATTAGTCCGAACTTTTTGAACGGAGGCCATAGAGCATTCTCTATTGGAAACTCAGAAAATCCCACCTCATGTTTTCCTCTTTTAACTTGAAATGTCAAATAATCTATCTGGAAATAAATTTCAACAAATTCAGGTACGAACCGGCGATCGAGAACTTCTTGACCTGGTAATAATTGATGTACTTAAGTCGATAGGACAAACTCAATTACATCTCACAGCAATACACGCACAGTCCATCTATTTGATACCCAAAAGAATACCGTACCTTACAATTGTGCTCATTTCTCTCTTCAACTTATCTCATATGAATTTAAAACTCACAATTGCTTTTTAGACAACTCTTGCACAACTATCAGCTGACCACACCGCTAAACATAAATGAGCTTCTAGGTTAAGTATCACTAATTATTGTTTAGCTCCATCCAGAACTATTAAGCTCATCGGATCATTTAGCATGATTCATAGCCTTGTGCTGTTAAAAGAGGCTTCTGATATGTACCAATAATAATATTTTGAAGTCAGTTCTTGAATCTGATAAGTTTGGAAAACAACTAATTTGCAGCACCGTTTATATATCAGGAAATGCCAAATTTGTATTTAAGAGGCACTGCACAGAACCAACAGCTTGGAACGGTAGTTTCGATGAATCAGTTCGCTTTCAGAACTTGGACTGGGCCATGCAAGACACTGGAATTAAAGAGATTGAATTACAATTTTTTGAATGATGCACCTGGTACTATATACTATATTCAATTGGAGAAAGATAACTTCCGTCGAAGACATACATTTTACATGCAAAAAATTCTCTCCATTTATGGTTCGCTATGTATTAATTTGCATTTATACAGATTGGATTACACAATTTGAATTCATATTTGGCAACTTTTTTGAAATTACCTCATGAGAAACTCTGTAATCCCTACCGTCAGTTCCTTTATCACTCATTTTATCACATGAAAAATACAAAACTGTGAACTGACTGAGACAATCAATAGCAAAATAATTCGCTCAAAATTGGCCAGCACAAGGATTGTATACTTCGATAAAAAATGAATTTCTAAAATGTAAGGTTGGAGACATCTGGCAAGTCGTATAAGGTTTTGTTTCTTAAGTGTTATTGATTGAGGCCATTTGATAAGATCACAAACTAATCAGGTACTTTTTTCGCATTATCCTTTTCTATAGTCCAGTGATGTATTTTCGATCTTAGCAGAAACAGTTCTAACAATATGAGATTGCAATCAAGAAAATTCACTTTAAATTTTGTTAAAATCGGTTGAAAAATTAGAATTCCATTATGCTTTAAAAAATAAAAGGATTATGAAGGTGACTGGTCGCTAACTTCTCAGTTTTCGCTTTCCATCATTTGATGCCTAGATTTTAAGTCTTCAAGTTCATACAAATTTCAGATATAAGACTTCGATATTAGTTTAATCACTGAATTCAGATGCATTATACAGCTCACATGAAAGTTACACGATAAAAGGTTAGCAAAGAGTAATTATGAATGAAACGAAACATCACGATTATGAGTTCTTTTTGTTTAGGCATTATCATTAATGACTCACTCTATTCACTAATTTACAATGCTAACGAAAATCCGTTGATCTAATTCCGAAGGAGTTGTAGTGCCAATAAGGAATGATTAGGACTTATTGACTTGCGTCTCACGGAACCTCTCTGAATAAAACATATAATGAAAAATGTAACAACAAATACAATAAACGACAAAACTACAAGACAAAACCAGCATAGATGACCGCATAGACTACCAGCATCACTCGTAAAATTACGCTCCTTCTCTACATCGAACATTCGTATTGTGACAAGTTTCAGGTCTGAATGAAGTAACACAGACAATAAGTGTTCCCTGGACTGTATTACTTTACCGACGATGTTCAAATCAAGATGATTGGCTGGAAAATTCCGAAATTTAGAAAACTACAGAAATTGCAAAAATACTACAGTTGCTTCTGCAAGACACTAAAGCGCTTATTCGTTGTTAGAAAATGGTGTACTTTCTGCATCACTTTACCGATAATGTTAAATTCTCTGAACGAGGAATTTCAAGAAAGTTTTATACTGGAAAACTAATCCTAACTGATCATTTTAATAAGACGTATAAATGATAACCTTGCAGAGATGCATGAGCAGTAGCATTCCTTAGCACAAGGAATGTAATAAAATTACTTGGTGTACCGCAGAAAATAGTACCAACCAATACATTTTCCATTTCCAGCGCATTATCAAGATTACATTGAATAGCTGTAGCGCATTCTTCGTTGATCCAGCGAGCTAACGCTGCTCGAATTGTATTCGCATTGATTTTAAGAATCGACGGACAGTCGAAAAATTCGACATATAGCCACCGTGTGCCATTCCTCGCACCATTTGGAAAATACTCAAAAAAGATTACATCAGTTATGAAGAATACGGCAAATAATGATAATGAGAGTTCGAGAGAAATGATGAAGGAGTTCCCGATCCGACCTTTGCTCATTTGGCTGAGATCAGGGTGTAAATAATCGACGAGCAATATTATATATAACGCTCACAATATTGCTCATCCCTTTTTAAATTAAATTCTAGAATAAAACTTTACCAGTAAAGTTTTAGGAATAGGAACTTAGTCCGAAGCTAGTGAGAAATCACCTAGCAGTAATACACCGAATTTCAAAAGATTTGCTCAAATTCCAACTTTACGGTAAAACAAACCTGAGTGGCTCTCGTTTCAGTACTGATTATATATAACCAGATGAAGCCCAATAAAACGATTATGGGCATCAAAAAGCGAAGGATGGCAACAGAACAAATATCAAGAGGGCGGAGGAGAAGTGTCACGCCTTTTAGGGGACACTTTACGGTTTGATGTGGGAGGATGCGCATTGTAACATATTTTATGAAGAGGTGGAGGTGGTGAAGACAGTAGCATTAACAGCATTAGTAGCAACGTTTTGTAGAGGACGTTGCTATATCATTAATGATTATCTACGATTGGCCGTTAACATACCACTTTTATATTAATTGTCCTTTCCTTTGCCATTTGCAAACAATCAACTATCTTAACCAGTCTTTAAGTTTTCTCTAAATTTATCTGTAGAATGAAATATTACAAAAAACCCAGCGAATTACTGCAGCTGAAGAATTTCCAATGACGAACAAAAAAGAACATACGCAGGCTAATTTCACACAATAACTTACGGAATAAAAAGTCTGTAAGTGTTACAACTAAAATTATCGCGACAAAGTGCTGTTTTGTAAATAACAAGAATATACTGAAAGAAATTGATTCCGAAAATCATTTCCCAAATTTTTAATAAGTGTTACTGCAAAGAAAAGTAGGCAAGAAATCCAGAATATACTGCGTAGTGTGGTCGCAACGTTTGCAATACATGGGTCTTTTCATCGATAAATTTAAAGATTTGAAAAAAGACTTACAGATAACGAGGCGATCATAACTTAAGAAATATGAAAATTCCGTTACTAGCAAGTAACTTCCCGACCAAAATCAATGATTATATCGTATTTTCGAGCATTACACAAGGAGAAAAAAAAAAAACAGATGCTTTACGAAAGGTATAATTCTTTGATGAAGTGATGATCAAACCGGAAGCAAATAGTCTAGGTTACTAAGACTTGTTGATTATAATCGCATGGCCCCGTGCTATCAATATTAGTACCAAAGAGTATCATGAGGAGTAAGATAATGTCCGTGCAAACTATGATTTTAACAATTTCAAAAAAAGAATATCCAGCATCACTAGCCTGAAGCAAATGTGAATCTTTATATACATTCTAAACAAATAATATAAATTGATTGAAGAAACCTATTAAAAGCCAAAATTACAGATCAAAATTATGATCAGTAATTATACAATAATCAATTTTGGACAGCGAATGAGCTATGCAGAATGTTGGCTTTATTTGAAAAGCTTGCAAATATTGCGTTGACCTTAGTGACTTAGTCCTTCCATTTTCTCAAGCCAAATCCATAATCTTTCCAGTAGGAAGTTGGCCAACGATTCGCGCGGTTCGTTTCAAATGGTGCTGGGTAGTCCTAGAAGATTTTAAGATTTTTTTTTCAAACCCAAAAAATTTTACCGCCTTAAATCCCAAGAATATTGATACAAATAAAACTTCTTAAACGAAAAGAATGATGAAGAAATGTGCAAGGAAAGAAAAAAGCTGTTAATTCAATAGCTCTCTGGTTTAATCTTCAAAATCTCTTTTGAAACTAATCAACAGAATTTTCAAACCAACTTCAGGCGGTCTCCATTGTACAGCAATAGGATCATCAGGGCGCACGACATGGTAATATTTCCGATAATAAGGCATAGCTGAAAATTATTGAAAATAAAACATAATAATAAATGCAATAAGTGTACTGCTTTAAGGTATTGCTGCAGTCAACTGAAAAAAAAAGTCAGAAACAGATCTAAGATCTTAGCACTATTTGTAGCGTCAACGTTTAACAACGTTATGAATTCTTCATGACTAAGATGAACAACAGAGTTATGTCCATAATATACTGAAATGTTACATGAACTATGGCACTTTAATTCTTCCCACTCTCCATTTTATGATGACTAACAATACCTATATAAAAGAACAAAAATTCTTGGCTCGATGTAAAAAATACGAATCCAACACTTTACAACAGCTTGAAGGACAATTTGAGTAGATTTATGCAATGCTGTGGTAAATAATATTTATGTGCCCGACGTGAAGCTTGATATACCGCGTAACAAAAAGTCAGTGTGTTCCCTCGAATAATATAAAAGCTATTTTATCATCCAGCAAAATTTAATTCAAAGAAATACTCACAATCATATCCCAAGCCGTACTTGAAGATATCATAGATGACAACAACAGTCATCGGAACAAAACAAAATACAACACCAACGAACTGAAATGACTCAATTGAAAAATTGATATTAACTATTCGAAATCTGTAAAGAGACTACTTTGTTTAAAATGAAAGTTTAAAATGTCCTACAAAAAATAAAGTGTAACGTTTGAGTAGCCGTCTTAAGATAATTCATCTTACTGCAAACACAATAAAAAATTAAAGCAGTTTGACTAATCAAGCATGTTTTTATACAACCATCAATAGTGATGCGAATAGTGAAATGTGTGCAAGCCTGTGTATCTTTCTTAAACGCTGATGTGCAAAAATATGATTGCTTGAAAATAACTATAGTGAAGCAGAAGTCTGCTGAACCATCGCTTACATGATTCCACTCAATTATTTCGATTAAAGTGTTTATAGCACTTTTTGTCAGTCATGGAAAAGGTAGACAACAAAAATCTCACATGTACGGGCCAATTATTCCATACCCAACGGGGATATGAACGGGCAACTCGTGTTATCCTTATCCATCTTGATGCCACCATTCCTGGAATATGCCACTTCTCATTAGTCGCTGGTTTAACTTTATACAAAAACGTAAATGAAAGAGAAAAGTAAGTCGAATTAAATCAAATCGTGGGCCAAACGTTTCACTTGCGCGAAATTTTTCTTATCAGATATAACAAAAAAAAAAGAAAAATCAAAAAAGAAAAAAGAAAAGACCGATTCCTGCAAAAAAGAGACGGCAGAGAAGCTGGGCAAAATTCTCTAACAACGCAATTTTGATAAATAAGAAAAATTAAAAATCCAAATAAGGAAAAACCACTAAAAGGAGCATCTCGATATCTCTACCACAGTCAAATAACGACTGAGGCTAAAGACCTCAACCTGAGGTCCAATGTCTACATATTTAACCACAAAACTTCCCTTCCATATGTTTATCAACCTTTGCTAAACTCTCCTTCTCTATCTTCTTTCTCAATCTTAATCACTGTCATCATTACACTACGTTTCCTTAACTTCCTAATGGCACGCTCTCTCATAAACCTCCAACACCCCCACCCATCCCTGTTATGTCTCTACTCCAACACACCCAATCTCCACTAACCACAAAGATAAACCCTCGAACCCTTCAGCTCGAACGGATCGTTGCGTATAGGTGCTATGCCACGTTTCATGAAATTGACAGTTTCATTTTACAATGTGGATGAGAATCGAAATCGGAGGGAAGGAAGAAGAGGAACATTAACTCGCGAAGTATATTTTGTTATATATAGACGACTGTAAGTACGTCACTAAGCGTACATAGTTGTTGTTTTCAAACACTTTTAAATAAATAACGAAGAATGAAATTGTTCTGAAAAAAGAAATTGTTCACTTGGTTTGTTTCAGTAGTGGAATTTTGTTTTATACCATTGATAATTTGGCAAGGAGATGGGTATTGTGAATGCCACCATTTCAGGAGATTCAACTAATCCTGTCTTACATGACCATTTAAAAGGAATCTGACCTTATTATTGATTTAATTTGCCCAAAGACATGGCAGCTTCAGACCACGCTGCTGGTGCGGAAATTAGTAAGCTAAGTGGTGGTGATAGCGTACACAGTTGGAGAGATACTCTTCCGGCCTCGATGGTTTCGAAAAGTGAATTAAGCATATGGAGTGTGCTCAAAAAATGCATGGGGAAGGTACGAAGTATTCATTTGATCACTTTTTTTTAGCCCTTAATTTCATCTTTCAATGATAAAAAAAGCACTTCATCATGTGCGGAAATACGTATGTTGTAGGATATAAGTTTGAAGTGTTTAGTTGAGTCAGAAATCCTCAGCTAACATTCAGTAACAGCATAACTGTTAGATCTTTTTCAGGATTTAACGCGAATTTCTGTGCCAGTAGTTTTCAATGAACCACTTAGTTTCCTGCAGCGTCTTGCTGAATACTTGGAGTATGCAGAATTACTAGAGAAAGCAAGTAAATGTGAAGATACTATTGAAAGATTTGAGGTGAAAAGATTCGAGCAAATTTTGAAGATACTGACAATTTGATATAGATTGTTGTTTTTTTCGTGTCAAATTTTCATGAAAAAAGTTTCCTCTTGGAATTCAAAGCAAACATGTGAGCTCCGTTTGATTAGCAGAATTGACATATGAAGATCTTTTCATGCAAATGATTTTTTTGACAATTTTATTCACACTCTGGATTTGAGAGGGATCACAGCGCTGTAATACTGAAATTTTGTAACTTAACAAGCTTTGTAGTTCAGCGAGCTTTTGTAGTTTAACAAGCTTTCTTAATCAATGTAGATCTGTTACAGTATGTTGCTGCATTCATTGTTTCATCACTTTCATGTAATTATATGCGGCTATCAAAGCCGTTCAATCCCTTGTGGTTTGAAACTTATGAATTGGATCGGTAAGTTCTTTATAAAAACGAATTTGAAGGTGAAGAAATCTCTTCGTCATCCAGTCCATTTCCGAAGAAATAGATTATAGGTTCCCCTTATAATCAGATAAACATGACGTTTCATATATTGTGCAGTAATCAATTTTCCAGAAAATTTTATCGTCCTTATTTTTGGTAGGGTCTTAGTACATAAATTACCATCTCAAGAATACTAATATATTTCAAACTGTTAAGTGAGCTGTGCTATAGAAGATATCTTTCCTTTCGTTCACAGCGAAAATAAAAGTATTCAGTAGAGAACAAACTTGAGGAACTAAAGAGCTTTTACAAATGAAAAAGTGCTCATTTTTGTCTTCTGCTTATTTTTTTGCATTTGTGTTAATCTTCCAGTTTTGCAGAAGTGAAGAAAGTGGTTATCGGTTCATTGCCGAACAAGTAAGCCACCACCCACCCAAATCTGCTTTTCATACTGAATCTAAAAGTTATGAATTTGATGGTGTTGTTTCACCACGATTGAAATTTTGGGGAACATGTATTGAGGTGCAACCATCAGGGAGTTTTCAGCTAAAATTTTTGGAGTTCGTTTTTCTTTTTTCCATTTTTTCCAGCAGTTCAAAACCTTATAAGTTACACAAATGGTATTGCTAACTTATTTCGAAAGTAATCGCTATTATTTGCTTATTCTAATTGTGTTATTTCTTTTCAGTCATAATGAAACTTATACATGGAAAACACTGAACGTAACGATTCATAATATTGTTATGGGACAAATGTATATACAATTGGTAAGTTATGTACCAGTAGTTCCCAACCGGTAATCCGGGGATCACAAACGATCCACGAGAGCAGTGGCGCAGTTGAGTAGAAAATAGGCGAGGATTATTCTCATCAATGTTTGATAAACTAATACGCGAAAAGTTTTGGTTAAATTTTTTTTTCAGATTTCTGGAGTTTGTTTCTCTTTTCCATTAGCACTTTTTCCAACAGTTCAAAATCTTATAAGTTACATAAATGGTATTACTAACCTCTTTCTAAAATAATTGCTATTATTGACAGAATTTATTATTTCTGAACCTCGTGGTCCCTGCTGCAAATAAAAAAGTCAAAGTCGTCCCTGATCAAAAAATGATTTGGAGCCATGGTTATGTACGATATATTTCTAATATATTGGATTTTTCACAGACTTCTGTCTTCAAAGCGGCGATAGTTTCTTGCCAAATCTTGTCACATACAGTATCTTTGTACTTTTACCAGTTTTAAAATGATCTTAGTTAATATGAACTAAATATTTTTCCAGGAAGGGGATCTTCATGTACAATGTAATACAGGATTCGAATGTAAGCTGTCTTTTAAAAATAGCGATAACGGGCCTTCGAGACAGAGTACCTTCTTTCAGGGATGCATATCAAAGCAGTTGGTTTATAGTTCTGAATTCGAATCAATAAGATTTTTGCTGTCTCATCTAATTACTCTTTGAAACCATGTTTTTTTTTTGCCTTTGTTAAGTCTTGCAAACTTATGACAAGTTTCAGAGGAAAAACTCTAAGAGCAATATATGGGAACTGGACAGCATTTTTTGCCACGTGTGAAATTAATAACTTTGAATTCCGTTTCGATGACTGGTTGGAAATTGGCAAACGGTTCTTTCAAAATTCTTCTGCTCCGGTAAGGTTTATTTTTCACCTAAGTTATTTTATTATTTTTATACTCATCGATATCTTTTGAAGCAGATTGAAAAACCTTTATACCATTTTACCGGAAAATATTGAAGTAGAAATTATAGGAAGGTATACCCTTAATTCAAGGATCGAAATTGATATGGAAGAGTCGTCCTCGACCTTCGAATTCATCTGCAGTAAGCATTTTTCGAAAATTGAATTAATCCAAGTGTCTATGAGAGTATTCTCGTTCAAGTTTTTTTTCTTTTTTGAGCTGATTTTATTTAAAGTAGTCAATATTCCAACCAAATATTTTCAGATGTATAATTTTACTTCATTCACATTTCTTTTAAATGATCCATCTGGCATAACGGACTTGCTACCTCCGACTGATAGTAGACGAAGACCTGACATACGCTTGTTAGAAGCAGGCCAAGCAGGTTGGCATTTGTCCTTCTAAAAACATATTGCAATGCGGATTTGTATAAATATTTCCAAAATATTTGTCATTTTATGCACATTAGAAAATAAGATTGTGATTACGCGACCTCTTTTGAAAACTTCAGTTATTTATATCATAGTAACAACATCTAACTATTTACCATTTAACTAAGTTTCAGCTACTTTAGCTTTCTTAGCTAAATTCTTTCCTTCTTTAGAAGCGGCTGAAAAGGAGAAAGAACGTCTAGAAGTTAAGCAAAGGCAAGCTCGTGCTTTAATGAAGAAGACAAAAGAAAAACTGCCCAGGTAAGTCTAAAACTACACGAGAGAAAATTTAGTGCCAATCAATAACTACTGTCTTTGCTGACCATTCATCTGAAGTGGAAAATTTTTGGATTAAAATATTGATTTTCAAGCACTTGCATGTTCGATCTGATTTCTGTACTACTTTTTAGATGGTTTGAAAAAGTGCATATAATTTCGAAAGATCAGCTGTTGTGGTTGTTCACTTACAAATATTGGAATCGTGAGTATTGTGACTGCGAAGATATTTATTGAAATAGATAATTCAAATAATCTGATGTTGGGACCGGTTGAAAGGTAGAGGAGTCTTACAAAAAAATTCGTAGTTTTAAATTTCAGTAGGCATTTTATCCATTTGGAATGATAGCAGGACTTAAATTCACTTCAGAGTCGTAATATTTATGAGCACTAGTTTTGATTAATACCAACCTGAAATATTTTTCAGTTATTGATTTCTTTAGCATCTTTTGTTCACTGCTTTGTAGTTAGGTTTCATCTGGCGATTTGAACATATAATATTCTATCATCTGTTAACACGAATTCGCTATTTCAAGTTATTTCTTTTTATAGCAGTAATTTTATCTAGTCAAATTCATTCCACTACAAGTACATTCATTGTAATTTCCGTTTGCTTACGATAAAATCTAAAATTTTCCATCTGCTATGTTTCTTGATTGAACACTGCACAATTCGAAGTACTACATTTCTGATATTTAATTTTGGAACTGCTTTTGATCTCAATGGATAACCAGATTATTAGTGTCCTAGATCATGCGTTCTAGAGTATCTAAGCTTTTGCGGCATTTGGCTGTGTGGTCTGTTTCCACACTTTTACGAAAAAGTTGCTAGATTTAATGTTTGATCTCTGATTAAAATTATTCATATCAATATTCAGTTAACGAAAATTTAATCAGGGATTAAAATTGTTTATATTAACATTGTATACGAACAATTTGTATACGCCCGAATATTGATATGAACAATTTTATCAGAGATTAAAATTATTTATGCCAACATTCGGTTAACATTCCGGATAGCATATTCCGTTAACACTTGTTGCATAGTTACTATGTCGAAACTGAGTCATCCTAATAACCACAAAACTTTAGGGAGATTCAATTTTGATGTTGGTCGGAACATCTCAAACATTTCAGGGATATCAAACCAACTTAGTGCACCTGGTTCTTTGAATTATTCTGAAAATGCTTATTCTCTGAGGTTTAAAGCTTCTTCTTGATTGATTCATACAAAGTGTGGGTACTGATATATATTATTGATAGTTTCAGTCAGGCTTTTGAATCAAATTGCCTATATTCTGAGAGAGAATGTTTGGTTGCTAAATACAGTGATATTCATTCATAATTTAATTAAATTTCGATTTCGGATTGAGATACTAAATGATCCGAGACAAAATTTGTTCTGCTGATTATTGTGACCAACGAAGTTCAGTGAAGCCCATCTGTTTTTGGGTTTCAATTTTCTAGGAGGTTATTAAAGAGATTTTGATGGCGCTTTCATTTCTAGGAGGTTATTAAGATTTTGATAGCGCTTTCATTTTATCTCCAGTTTGTGATTCTTTTACTTGTTATTATTTACATAACAATTTGTAACATAACTCCTATTCATTTTGGTTGTTTGCCTTACAGAGCCATTTAATGCTTGTTATAAACAGTAAACAATCAGGAAATCATATTTAATCGGTGGAAATCAATTCACTTTTCCGGTCCGTCCCACTCTTTGCCTTATTCGTTATCCAGCTTTGCAAATATTGTTTGACTCCAAAAATCTGCACCGAAAAGTCGTTTTTCATTAATTTATGGAAAGGTAATCTCCTATATATAATGCTATCAAATTGTATTAGTATTTTAAGTTTTATTTCTGAAGACTGAATACATTGGCTGAGATTTTTATGGCCTTCATCAAGAGTATTTATAGTAAAGTTTCTTAACGCGACTTTTCTTGTGTGTATTTGTATTTCACCTTTTTATTCCTGCTTAGATCTTCTATTGTTTTGTTGCAGCTTTTCATCAAAGGAGATGGTCAAACTAATATTGTCAAAGTAAGGTTCTGAATCTGAAAATGAGTCGCTTTCATACAACTGTTTTTATCAGGCCAAAACTCTACTTTCACAATGAATCTAGAACCATTTTTTACCAGCTTGCATTATCGTATATTATTTAAATATTGTAAACAAGCTTAAAATTGGTTTTTTATTTCTCGAGTCTTTATTTCAGAAATGAAACAAACATACTGGTTGATTGCATTTTTCTGAAAGTTAGTGCTTTTATTTAAAGTGTCATTGCTTCGACCACATTTCTTTCATCTTGATATTATAAAATTGAAGTTTTTTTCCAAAATTTGATAGAATCTCGATAAAGATTTAAAATCAGAGATTCCATGCATCATCTATTTCATTCAGCAAAGAAAACAAGACATGAATAAATATGTGATGACATGTGTAGAGCAGAGAGTGAACCTCACAAAACATCAGTTTTATTAGTGTAATTTGGAAGAAATTTGGCACTGGAAGATTATTTGTCCATCGTTTTAAATCATTTAGCACTGATCTCTTCGAACCAAAAATGGCACGAGTTAACTTCGTCTATCGAAGGAAAGAGTTGCTATGCTCATACGTTCGAACCGTTGATGGATGCTTTTGACTTTATTGAATATTAAAAGCAAACGAAAATGTTCTCTGAAAAGTTAAATTTTTTATTGCTCTGATCAAACATATTTTGTCCCTTCAGTGAACTTACTTTCGTAACTAATCATTCAAATTTCTTAAAGGAAAAAACTACACTCGAGTGGTTTTGGAAGTTTTTGTCTTCTTTTTCAAATCAGAGACATTCAATCAGGCAGCATTTTGAATGTATGCAATAGCAGCGGAAAGAATTGCTGTCATTTTTGAACTTCTCATAACAAAATCAATTGCTACATTTAAACTTTTGCCATTCCTTGATTTCTTGCTCAAAGTCAACGATCAAGCTTGTTCAGACTTTTCCTTTTTTTTTTTCTTCTCATTGTTTTCCCTTCATTCATCCGTGTAAGATAATGAATAGTTGAGAAAACTAATTTTTTAGCTGCCTATGGGCAAAAAGTGAAGTGTGAAGCAGTGGATCTTCTGAAAAGTTAATTGGTTGTCATATCCAATATGGAAGTTGTCCAAAAAAGAATTGATCGATCGGACATTCTTTATAATAATTATAATATTCCTTACAATAGCTTTGCCATTAATTTGAGTTGAATTCCCTCTAGTGTTTAAATGATGGCTTATGTATTATTACAACAACACAATTGCAACAAACAGATAACATGATTAGGGCGGACAGAGAGATCATATGATGAAATGACCCGAAGCATTCCCGCTCGATTGGTCTATGTGTTGTGCTTTGGATAAGCTAATGGAAGATGGAAGCTCTCCCACTTCGCCGTCTGTTCGCGTCCCCACATTTATTTGAGAAAATGGGAAGGACCGGTGATGAAGAATGAGTAGTGCATCATCTTCCTTTCTCTCTAATCTTTCTACTTGTTTTTTTTTCTTTTTTACACTGATCTTCATTTGTCAGTTTTTGATGGAACTTTATCAGTTTTTTCTCGAAACTAATACCAAATCGATGAGGGAAACTTTGCCGTCTGGATTGTATCACTTTGATATTCTTATTCCTAGGACATCACTACCCTTATCTCTTGACATTACCACTGACCAGTTTGGCTTCACTTTCGTCTTTTCTCGTTTTCTTCAGTCCCATCGTTTTATGAGAATTGAGGAGAAAAGTAGCAAGATTTTCGATATAATGATCAGATTAAAGGAAATTTAGCATAATAATGATTACATTGAGCATAATAATGATTACATGAATATTTAATGATTTGCAATTCATTATCATGCCAACATTAATGATTATATTGCATGAATATTTAATGATTTGGAATTCATTATCATGCCAACATTAATGAAGCATCGGTGGGAATGATGTAACGGTACATTTTTTCATTAATCAAACTCTTTTCTGCTTTTCTTACCTTGACATCTCTGGCAACCATTGATGAATAATAAGAATCATATCAGAAAATGAGTGCCTTTTGCACTACGAAGTGTTCTTTGAGTGTTCTTTGATTTACAAAAATCTTAGTTAAATTTGGGCGTTCTAAAACTCTCGTCATTCACGGATGCTCGCTGAAAGTTTTCACGTAGATTTCCCTTCTTTTACAGACAAATATTTTCTTGATAGTTGGGCATTTTTTCATTTCTTTCCAGTACTGACAGGAACGTTTCATTTAGTTGAATTTAACACTTTGTAAGCACTGAATATGCACTCTCCCATACGTCACTTCTTAAAAAGTACAGTTATCAGTGGTAATATTTCCATAGCATGAGATTGTGAGGATATACTACACTACCATTTGATAGATGTAATCTTTCCCGTTCTCTTTCCCTTCCATTCAAGCACAGATACTTATCAGTCGGATGTTTTCAATTTTATTAAGTGCCAAAGATGTATATTTGATGAGTATTCTCAAGTTTTCATTTTCATTATTTTTCTTATTTAGTTTATTCCTTCACATCTCACCGTAATTTTTGGTTTTTTTTTCAAGCATTTATTTACTTCCTATTTTACCGTAATCTTCAGTTTTTCTTCAAAATTTAATTAAAAAAGTGAGGAGGAGAAATTGAAAGAAAAAGATAGGGGAGAAAGAGAAATACTATCCACCGACTCAAACCAATAGAGTTCTGAATCCACATATGGTAATCAATCTGTATACAACAGAAAAGTAGAGAATCCCCTCTTGACAACTGATTTCCGCCTGTTGTTGGTTTCGATCCTTGTCGTCTGGACGAGGAAAATAAATGAGATAAACAAGTCACTGGTATTTATAAATTTAAACTCAGGGAAAATTTAATTACCACTCTATATGAATCTCCATCTCTAAACCTTTTCCTCTTTCAGCTGAAACACAAAATTATTCTTTTCTTTAAATATTTTGGTTTGATTTTCTCCTGGAATTCTACCTTTCATCCACTTGTGGAAGATTAACTTCGTGCCAATAGTACTCGCGTACTGCTCTGCAGGGAACTCATTTATCTGTACCATTTTGATAAACCGGATAAGTTAGGAATTGAATCTTATTAGGATTTCTTATAATCGTTTTGGATGAGGCATTTCCTTAATGAATTCAGCAGCTCACTTCCAGCTGTCTTATTCTTGAAGGTTAATATGTTTAAATCTGAAATGTTTTAGACGTAAAGTTCATAAGTATGTCTGTTAAACCTTGCTGTAAAGCATTTTCAAGAGATGTATTGCAGAAATAGTCAGGTGTTTAGTCAGGTAAAGGATAAACACAAACTCTCCCTTATTGCAATTAGTAAGACCATTCCCAAGAAATGTTAAGATTAATTATGTGTTTTTGAATGTCTCGAAATTCCTATCATTAAATGCAGCCACTTATGATGTGCCATAGATATATAATTTTAATAAAACTGCTGAATAAAATCACCATTTATTGTGCAGAATAGTACATCATTTATCGGTCTGTTACTTTAATATCGATGATGATGAGCTGTTCGAACTATGGTCAATCAATAAAAATTCCAAAGTAGCTGATAGTTTAAGAAAACAGTTATCACCAGATTAACTTTTTAAAAGCACGAATGTGGAGTCTTATTTATAAAATAAGAGAAATCAAGAAGTCTAATAAAAAAATATGCAATAATTCTTTCGGGTAGTGACGAAAGATAATATGGAAATATTAAAATATTTCCGATAAAAAAATAGATTTATTTGAATGTTCTGCAAACTTTACTGCATTTATGGAAGACTAGATATAAAGGAAAAGATAAATAACGGACCGAATGTTTTATCAGCTGTTATCTTGAGTTTCTTTCGAGACGTAGTCAGTTTTACATTGCTTGTTTCTTAACTGATTATCTTCTATATTATCTTTGGTATTAATTAAAATTTATGGAGAGAAAATTGGACATTGTTGCAAACGTAATCTAATCTAAAAATTTGTTACCATTATGAATTTAAAATAATTTCATGATAACCATTCACTCTTTCATCAGCGATTGCCAATGAATACAAACAGTTTTCACAGATGCATTTGCTATATTTATTAGTATTTTCGTGTTATTCCATTCACAGTGAGACTCGAAAGTTATCATCGAAGTAGATATTATCAAAGTAGATGTTATATCTGATAGTATCACTATACTGTAAACAGCATATTATTTTCTCTGCAAATCTTGTAGATATTGCCGTGAATGTACAATTTTCATCACCTGACTTTCCATATGAAATTTTTTCCCGAATAATCCAAGATGAGATAATGTTTACTTTCTCAGATTTTTATCTCTTTCATTTTCAGAAGTATTCGCATATCTCGAAATCATTTTTGGACAATGTACCAAAAGACACTGCTTTTAACAACTGTGACAGCCCTTCATGTTGGTATGTCACTTTTGCATTTCTCAGGAGGGTTACATCAACTGCATTTTTTTTTTGCAAGAGAGACATATCTCAGTTTAATTTATAGGTAGATTTACACATTTGCTAAACAGTTCACTTCCTGAAATGAAAGCAAATTTTGATTATTTAATGCGATTTCAACTTCTCTAAATCGGCTTTTTTCCTTTTTTTTTGTTAAGGTTGTAATCTCAGTTTTAATTTTTTCTACATTTCATTAATGCTAAACAAACCTTTGTAAGAATTACGAGGCTATCACTCTTTTTATCAGGATCATATAATTTGTTTTCTGATCCTTCTATTTTCAAAATTTTTGCTTTAAAAAAAAAAATTGTCCCAAATTTTCACATTTTTCCAGCTGCACATAAATTTGGTTATGGTAAAGAGGATGGGCCGAGCAAATGGCGAGGCGTATGTCAAACTGGGAAACGTCAGTCACCTGTAGACATTAGAGCATTTGAAATAGAAGTTGCACCTTTAGATCCTTTACTGTTTTTGAACTATGAGCTTACCGGTCATATTCACCTAGCAAATAACGGACATACTGGTGAGTTGTTAAATAATTCATGCAATCTTTTTGAACATTTTCTTTTCGAAATTTTTGAGTTATGTGTTATTTGTTTGTGTTATCCGCTATGTTTAATGGAATCCAAAAAACTTTTAAAAAAAAGGTGCACTAGGAAGAACTAAGGAAAACGTTGCTATGCGTAACGTGAAAGTTTTTTAATAGCATCTCTCAAATATCCCGAGCGCAAATTTGGGCAAAAGAAGTGCCTGATAATCCGTTTAAACATGAATCTGGATTTTATGGCTCAAACTGCACAGGACAATAAACAATGGACGCAATATAAGAATTAGGAAATTTGGAACCATAAATTTGCAGTAGAAAATCGAGAAAACTGCTGCTGCTGCTGCTGCTTCTGCTGCTGCTGCTGCTGCTGCTTTGCCTTATGCGCACTATACGGGTGCATTGTGCCGCCTAAGTGTACCGAAGGAAGGATTGAGTTACTGTATCCTTGAGTTGAGGGATGGTACTTAGGGCATCATTACCTCTTCTTAGATTTTTAATTATAAACATTCTAACCTATAAACTTAGTAACAATTGCACTTAATGTCCTTTAAATTCACTACAGTAATTGGTTCTGGTTTTGAAACGTGGGGTCAGGAACGACCGCATATTTCTGGAGGTGGTCTCAATGGTACCTACCAGCTGTCACAGTTTCACTTTCATTGGTCGCAACAAAATGATACTGGCAGTGAGCATACCATTGCTTCGTTGCATTATCCTGGCGAGGTGAGTAATCAGTAATTTATGCTGCCTTGACTATAAACGACTGTTAGTTCATTTATCACTATCTCTTCTATTCCGATGATAATCCATTAATGAGATTCAAGTATTATTTAGTGATTCCTCAAAGTATTTGGTGCATTAATAATGATTAATAAGGAAATATTTTAATTAATGAGGAAGTATTACTCTCTCATTACTTCCATTAACTTGCTTCAAATTTATTAGTAATTAAGATCTTTAAACATGTTAAATAATTGCGTCTTTATTCGATCGAATTAAAATGAAAGTTCAGTTAAAGTTGACAAATTGAAAAAAACCAGACAGAACTGCTAGAAAACCAATTTAAAATCTACTTTTTCCGAGGAGATCAACGTTTTGCTCGAGTTAATTACTCCATCATCAGATCAGATACGACCTACCATTCGGTGCAAACAGTATACATATGCTTGTTTCAGCTACACTTGGTGCATATCAAGAAAGATCCGTCTCCAGAAGAAGTGAACACCATTGCTGTCGTCGCTGTATTTATAAGACTTGATGATCATGTTGGATCATTGCATAGTCTTAAACCTTATATCCAAAATATCAGAATGCCAAGTTAGTTCTAGCACAGTTTACTTCCTTCCACAAGTCAACCTTAATTCTACTGACTCCCTTTTCTTTTAATACTTACTGCTTATATGTACACATATTGTCACCGATTTTAACTATTGCAGAATCATTTATTGATTTTCTCGTTTGTTTTAAACTACGACTCTCAAAAATTAATGGTGAAGAATATGACATGGTTTTCGAGCTGCTCAATTACAGAGACCGAGCTTGTGGTACCTGGTTTTAGTGTCAACTCATTGCTTCCAGAACATAGGGAAAATTTCTACAGGTATGAAGGGTCACTGACAACGCCTGGTTGTGATGAAGCTGTAGTATGGACACTAATGGCGGATCCTATCATGGCCACTCCATCACAAGTGAGAATTACCTCACAAGTGCAATAATTTTAAAATGACGGAACTGATAAACTGATAGGATATGGTATGTACACCTAAAGAGACTTTATAAAATAGGCTGCAGAGAATGAGCTTTATGATTCCAAATCAAGCGAAGGATTTCCCTTTATCAAGCCTGGTTTCTCTTTCTTCTGACTGGTATTTCTTACACTGAAGTGGAAAATTAACACTCCCACTTCTGCTGCGATAGTAGGCGCATTGATATCCCAATTGATTAAAGTACGCTCTCTTTTAATTAAATTAAAAAGTAGTCAAAATACCTCGAGTTCTAACATGAAGTCTTTTTTTCTATTTGGTCCAGGTTTTATTATCATCATTCGACCAGATTTTTTCAAAGAAATGAGTCTCTGTGAAATTCTTGGATTAACCTCAACAATTGAATATTGTTATATAAATCACGGCATCACTGAATATCGAAATACTTTGTCCCATAACATTGCTTATAAATGAATTATATTAGATTTAAAAGTTATCATTTTCTATCTTATTCCAGCAAGGTCGTCACTTTTTTTTAAAATATAAACTGGAAATTTCTTTCATCGCATAAAATAATTAAGAAATCTGGACTAAATAAATCGTTCAAAGCAACATTCAAACACCTTTTATATGCAGTACAATAATGAAATGGAAATGACAGGTTGTAGTGCTTTTAATTAGTGAAACGATACGGCTTGGGGTCAAATAGAAATCTTCGCAGCTCAAATGAGCATTCTGAGTATGTCAGAATGCCATTATGGGAAAAATTTCCTTTATAACACTGCAAACATTATGGAAGATTTTTCTAACAAGTCTATTGGTCATTATTGATTTGGCAGCCGTTATTATTCACTTTTCCATTAAAAAAATAAACGCCTTTATCTCAATCCATAAATTTTTGGATTCAAATTGCAAATAATGCATTTACACGGTTGAAGATGGGATTGTAGCAAGGGCTGTAATAACAACCACAGTAGTAACTAAACTAATGAAGTTATTTCTCTGTCATTAAATTAACATATGATTATCATTATTAAGAAGACAACTTCAATAAGTGCCAATAAATACGATTACTTAGTGTAAAAGAGGAATAATTCATTTGGTATTATCAGAATAAAACCTAATTGCTGAATTTTCTTAAGCGATAAGTTGCGACTGTTTCATTTTACAGATACGAGCATTTCGTGAGGTGCAATTTGCATCCGGAAATCCTGGACACAATTGGCGTCCAACACAACCACTGAATGGTCGTAAAATACTATTTCGTCCTACAATTACTCTTCGACGTACGAGTGGGGGTGTTTTGTTGAAGCCAGTTTCCAAAGTGCTTTTAATTATTTGGCTCTACGGAATATATCATATTTTTTTGATCTTTTAGTGTATTTCCGATATTCTGTTGAAATTAAGATCTGCGCTCTTTCTGCATAACTCCTTCATAGCTATTATTGTCTTTCATAGTTATTTAATTTCCACTGAGCTCAAGTTCATTCTTTTTCTGTCAACCTGAATCTCATCCTTGAATCGCCAGACACATTAACGCTTCTTGTTAATATGAGCTCTATAATTTATGTCAATTCAAGAATTCGAATGGAAATTAAAGCAATAAATAAATTGACGAAACTTTTAGCATACAATGTGCTTTTCTTAAAAAAACACGAATGATTTGTTGTCATGAAAATGTCAATGGAGTTTCCTACGTCACATGTTGGAGTGCGGAAAAAGAGGAATTGAGTTACTTTAAAATCTTCAAATCAAACAGAAATATAAGAAATAACATCATTCTTCATATAAATTTGAAAATATTAGTAGATTTACTTTTCTACTTTTCTATACAGAACACTGTATTTTTGGATGATGTACATGCTTCATTTCATTCAAACTTTTGCCAACCAAACTCGAGCTCTGATAAATGAAAGCTCGTAAGATTTGCTTTCATCTAATTTCAATTTCTTTTATTTATTTTTCATCTGTCTGTCCTGCATAAGAAGTAGCATTTTCATATGTTTTTTTCAGTGCACAGAATGTTGCAATGTTGCACAATGTTGCAAAACTTCATGTTGCATTGTATAAAATGCATTATGTCAAGAATGCAACATGCATATCTATTAATGCGCAACTATCTCTCTAGTTATTACTTTGACATCGATGTCACCTATTACAAGTGTAATAGCTATTGCTTGACACTTCATCGATTAGTTTGAGGAGGAAGAAAATAAAAGTTGTGTTATCAAATGCATTTCAAACAGCATATCGTTGACTGCTTTTTATCTGTTCAAGGTTTTGATGTAATCAAATTGAATCCATCGTCTATCGTTCGGATCAATCTCCCCATGCGAATCGCGTTTTGCCATCATTCGTAGCTCACGATATGCTGTATACAACTGCAATTTACTTCTTCCATCTATACTTATGGATAGTTAGCAGTAAGATGAAATGCAGTTTTAGTGATATACTTTTGGGTTGAAAATTCGAAAATTATTTAAAAAACGGAAGTTTTAATTTTCAAATTCAACTGCAATAAATTTATATCATTTCTTTTAGAAAAATCAATCATCGCACCGCAAGATAAGCTTTGCAGAATTGAGGATTGTTCCAATGATATTCTTCATAATTCTTTTCTAGTTCATCCTTCAACAACTGCAACGTGCCTTCGTATTGCAAAATGTATTCTGAATAAGGAAGCTAATGTTCTTGTGAGTTTATAATAATTCTCAGAGCTATCTGAATATTTGGATATTTTGATATTCCTATGGGATTCATTTATATCTTGATATACTTTGAACTTTGGGACAAAATGAAAAATTTACTGTAATATTCGTAGAGTTGAGGATCGATAATTTTTTTGAAAATAATATGACTAATAGAGCAAATCAACGCAACCGTAACAACTGCACCAGGATATTTGAAAATTACATCAGATAATTTCTGCAGCAAAGGTTCGCACCATTTCGGAAATATTTGTATGGAAGATCCAAAATCCATTTCATAAAAATTACTATCTAAAATAATATTCCATCCCATTATAGTTTATTAAAAATACTGTTCAAAAGACCAATAGAAATTGCTGTACTTGTATTTGAAGTTTAAGTATGTCTTTGAGGATATTTCAGTATGAAAGAAGTACCGGATAAATTCTTATTTCACCTGCAAGATATTATTTAGCCGAAAGGAATGGAATTTAAAGGAAATGAAATAACAAAGATTACGCATTTATGCAAATGTTTTGTCTATAATTTAAGATCCCATGAAATTTATTCAGTTCATATATGTAAGTCAAATGCATAATGGATGGGACTTTTAGATGTCGAGGCGTTTAAATAGTAATATTCAAAGATGAATTTCAAAGTCTTTCATTATCTATAATTACCATAGTTTCACTTCAATTGATTAAATAATAATTGTATGCAGTTACTGAGCGCGACAACCTTGAAGGCTGTCGTCTTTCAGAGTTTCATTTCATGTGAATTGTTTCTTCAAATTTTTATTTCAGGTTCTCACGCAAATAATCAGCTCTAGCAGAAGTAGTCAAAAAGCTTTAAAGTATAATGAGTGAGATTTAGGTTTCATTAATTATAGAAACCTTATATTCAGAGTAGTAGCAAAATAATGGATGTGGAATATGGCTAAGGAGGAAAGATTTTTATGATTCGATAAAACAGATTTAATTAATGATGACATTCATGTCAAGCTATTTTTGATAAAATCTGTTAAAATCCTTGTATCTTTTCTATCTTTAAATGGAAGGATGATATGAATTATAATAAAATGCAAGTATAAATCTATGTTCTGAATCGGAATAATTTACAAAACTGATTGCTTTAACAAATATTTATTTTCCTTATTTAAATATTCTCTTTACAATGAAAGAAAAAATCGAATTAGAACAAAGAGAGTTATAATAAAAATAAATATTTTATAGCGAAATATTGCAATAAACAGAACGAAAACGATGGCATTCAAAATTCATTAAAACAAATGTGGACATTATTCTTAAAGCACCCTTAAATTCTTACTAAATCCGCACCTAAAATTCTAAAATTGTTATTTAATTTTGAAGGGTAAAATTCAAAGAGTAAATAATGGAACCACTTTGTTTCTTTTTCACTAAATAAATCAGCACATTGATGGCAAATTTGCTGATTGCAAGAAATTATTTGACAAAAATTAATAAAACTTTCAAACAAATTGCAAACTTTACAAATATAGCAATGTAAGGAACAGGCAACAAAGTATCTTCAATCTGTCAAGATCGCTACTGGCTGGATAAATATTAGCTGAAGGTCCCCTAGCTCCCGACAAAGTGTATATAATGAAAGCATTGTATCATAAGTGATAGAAATTTGCATAATACAAAGAGAATCTAAAATAAGTTTCCAGACAAATACTTAGGTATTACCACTTTTAAGACTGGATCATTAATTAGTCACTTAGTTAATGAGTCAAAATAAAAGCAAAAAAGACGCTTATATTTTCGACAAAATATACAAGCATAGTTAGTCTTTCAGCATTTGACAGTGCACAGTGAATTAAATTTTTGAATTGAGTGATAGCAACAAAGAGAGTGATTTGAGCCTAGCCAAAAGCAAGGGCCAGAGCTCTAATGGTCTTTTTTTTCCTAAAAATATATTTTATTACAACTTTTGGCTTTTAAACTTTGGTCAAACACTCAGTTAAAACTTGAAATTTCCTTCATTCTTGCACATTCATTTTCTATCCATACATCTACCGTATGCGCATCAGTCCAAAATTATTCAACATTGAAGGTAATAAAGTGGAATATGGTAACAGTAAAGAATTCCAATTCTTTCGCTTCCCTGAAAAAACAGTATCATAATTTTAAGCTCAAAAGAGAAAAATATGCAAAGCAATTCTTCTGGTACCTTTTGAAGGTACAAAATGATTATAGCCATGTCGATCGATTTCTGTATCTTCCAAATTCAAATTAATATATCATTTAAACTATTGCTTTGATATCTGTGTTTATGATAGCTGGATGGAATACAGAGAGCGCAAGAAAGCCGACAATTCGCTGCCATATATGCTTCCCGAGAGCCGTGACATTCACCATGTCTTGCCCATAAGTCACAATTCGGATTGTCATCAGTACAGCTGCGTACTGAAATAAGGAAACTAACAGCATGCAAACTCTTTTCCTTTAATCAACTTAAATTTTGGATATAAATTTCTCATTTCTACTCTTAAATTTTCAAAGGGAACTGGAAGAAAATAATATTTTTGAAAATTAAAATACAACCTAAACCATATCAATATGATTTTTAATAAATCTGTGGTGCTGAAGAATTTCAATGTTTACTGTAGCATCGTACCAGTTATCGATTGACTCGATCAAAATAGAAAACTTGTTATTATTGCTGTCTCAAAACTGCCAAGTGACAAGTGGTCTTAGTACAATCCAAATACATATGTATAAGGTTCACCTTGGTTAACGGCAGAGAAAAGTGGGTGACAAGTATTACAAGTTTTAGAGCAACGCTTAATCATGAAATTTCGATGCTTGCTATAGCATCCGACATTTCGAACCCAATACTCACAATATGGCTCCAAGTCTTGGCACTCTGTAATTTTACTTTCATTAAAAAATTGCACAAGATAAAAAGACAATGAAAACATAATTTTATTCATACTCTTTTCAAAGCTATTCAATAAAATCTCTTAGACTATTCAATTCCAGAAAACTATTACTCTCAATATTTTCGAGTTTACGATAGACAAATCTGTGTAAATATTTAATGAAGAAGATCAATCAAAATGTTTTTTCAGGAATTGGTTTCCAAGATTTCAAATTCAACTTTTAGATAAAACCAACTCAAAATAAAACTACCATAATTATACAATTTGCCATTCCCATTTAGCTGATAGTTTTTTTGCTTTTGTTGCCTATTGATTTTATTTTGCCATGATTTACGAGACTGTTGTATTAGTAGAGGTAAGAAATTTCTTTGTTGAAGGTAACGCATGCCGGAACAGCATGGAGCTAAAAGTTGACAGAATGTGAAATCTTCATTTTTTTATTCACAATAAGAATGAAGCATGATCGACAAATGGTATGAAGATTATTTGATCAAGTTCTACTCTTTTATGAATCCCAGCGGAATACATAGCAATAATTATGAAGTGTATATACATATATATCATCAAGCTTCAAATTGGAAAGCGGCTTTAAGACTTTCGAGCTATTGAAGAAATTTTTAATAAGCTTACGACAGAGGCCCTCTGAAGTGCACTCTCCGCCACATTGACAATTGGAACATCGCGGTCCAAAAAGATACGGCCGTTTGCCAAATTGATTACCACTGCGAAACTATGACATATACAAATTTCCAAAAAGACAAAATTATAAAATTTGATTTCAAATAGTAAAGAAAGGAAAAAAATAAGCACGAACTTATCAATAATTAAACTTTATGTTACTTCTTGAAAATTTGGCCAGATTTTGTGTCATTTTAAAAAAAAATGAATTGTTAATTAAAGGTTTTTCGTGTTATTTACTGAATAAAATTGTTTATTTCGACTAATAAAACTTCAATAATTGATTTGATAAAAATTCGACGTGCAATCTATACATAAAACATTATATGCACTTATTGGTTATAATAAAGTGACTTAATCAGAATTTGAATTAATAAATGGATAGGAGATATTTGATGAGTAACATACCCTTCACCATAATTGCAAATAATGATATGTCCTTGATTTATACCTCTTCCATTCTTAATACCATAACAGTGAACTGCAGCACAACCCACAGCACATGTTTCACCCCAGACATACTGAAATCATCTCAACATTCTGAGATGATTTAAATATTCAAACAAAACTTGCTGAAAATTCACTTTTTTGTAATCATTCTCTTAAAATGCTAATTATTCAGTTAGATTTAGAGTGATTTGATTTTGCAAAATAATGTCTTACAAATTGATTTTTTGACAAGTATGGCAATAATATTCCATTTTACATCAATTAAAGTTCAATATTACTTCATCTGCATTTTGTTACAAATTTGGAGTTAATTAAGTTTATTTCAAAATAATTTAATGAATCGACGCAGACTAAATTAAACCTCACTGTACTCATTTTAAGTTCAATAAACAAATTGAATTGAACTGAGCCAAAAAGAAAACTTTAAAATAGAATAGGCTGTGTAAGCTAGTGAAATAAAAATTACTGTTAAACTTGTTTACCGAAGAGTAAAAATATTAGAAAATACACAATTATCATTTATTTGCTTCTTTTTAAAAAACCTTACATCACTAAAGGAAATATCTAAGCAATTGTAAGAATTGCAAATAAATTTTTCTGCACAAATGGATTGATGAGTAAAATTTTCTGAAAGAAAAGGAAATGACAAGATGTGAAGAAAAATTTTCCTCCGTATTTCTGAAAGGTCATAAGAGACACTAAAACTAGTAAAACTTTTGACCTACTGGTGAAGAGTATTCAATGGGAATTGTTTTTTGTTTTAAATTTGAACCACACCTCCTTAGGAGAAAATTTTTTAATCCGGTAATAAATTTAGAAGTACAGAAGCGTTACTCTGGAATCAATTATACTTTCAATGGTTTGGAATTTTTCTATTAAACGGCAAGACTTGAAGAGAATGAACAGAACATAATTTTATTGAGGGATACTGCTACTTCCATTCTCGTCTCCCAGGAATGAAGGTATGACTTAATCATACTACCATAAGATTTCCATCAATTCCTGAATCAAGACCTGTGTGTAATGCCCACATTGAGCGCCTTCCATGCATTTATTTTCATTGTAATCATAATACGGTTTCTCATTGAAGAAGTCCAACATTGCTGTTTGAAGATTGGATCGTAAATAAGCTTCATTACTCCACCAAATATTTTCACCAATATAGGAATAACCATAACCTTGTCGTTCATAAGCTAAATTCATTTCAATTAAATGGCTATACCATTTCAACTTAAATGTTTACACTTGAAATTACTACTGAATTTTTAATTCCTTGAAAGACTGACCACTGCGATGCCAAGCATCACATCGTTTAGCATGGCCGTATGCCAGATCAGCAAGCCGTTGATCCCAAACCAGTTCTTGCATGTTTGATGCCGGTTCCTGAGCCCGTAACTGATTGTGAATTGTGATTATTTGTCTCCTTTGTTCATCATTGAAATGATATATTGTATAGATTATTTGAGCTAAAAATTCTTTTCCACTTTACTCTGTTACAATCTAAAAAGCTTTCTTTGATGTTTTTTATTTTAGAAATAATCATAAATCTGCTCTTTCTTTTAATTTGCAACGGTTAAATTATCACAACTAAAAATGCTGCCACTTTTTAGGTCTCGAATAGCATTAAATCAACTTACACGTAACAATGCCAAGATAACAAATGAGTACAGCAGACAAATGACATAGCATCGCTTGAGATTTGTCTTGTTCAACCTAAATTCATTGAGATCAGGCCCTGTTCTATTTCATATACTTGTTGTCCAATTAAAAATTACTAGGCTCATTTTAAAGTGACATCAATTGTATTATAAAATATGCAAATTAAAATTAACCATATGTGAATTAATTTAAATTTGATGTGATTTCCGTTTTTTTGTTTTTATAATCGGAAATGGAAGAAATTATGCATGACAAAAGATATGAATGCATGAGTTGGAGAAAACAAAATTTAAAAAATTGGTCCCAAAATTTAATCTATCAATCTGTTAAAAAGCATTATAATTGGATCACACAAGCAAATTGTTAATAGAAGTAAATTAAAAATGAAAAATAGCATGAAAATGAATAGAACATAAAGAGTGAAGTGATAGATACAAGGGATTTGCAGGATAAAAAATGAAGGAAAATTAAAATATGAAAATGATGTGAAATCTTTGAGAAGTGTTCTTAAATTCTAAAATCCTTCATCATTCCTATCAGGATTATTACTTTTTTAATTACTCATCTTGAATGTCATTAAATGAGCATAATTTGTATAATAATTATACATGAATTGTATAATTGTACACTTTGTTTCATTATATATACCTTGTTTTAATGGTAGGCTTTGTTCAATAAAAGATTAAGTATAAATGCTTTACTCTTTTGCATTTTGAGGATTTATTTCTTATGCCACATGAAAAAATGAACGAACAAAGTCGGAAATGACAAATTTCAAACCTTTACCGCCATCTTGAAAATACAAATTTAGGCCATTTATCAAAATGATCTCATATGTAGTTATTTCATTGGCGCCATTGGTTGTTACTTTTTTTACAAATCGATTCTTTCCATGCAAAATAATTTACGAGCTCTAACTGACCAACTGACCACAATGCTTAGTTACTTATTTTTTGAATTTTTACACAACGTTCTTTTAATGAACTCTTTGAATTTTGCATGGATATTTTAATTCTCATCAATCAGTTTTGGAAGATCTAAACATTAAACTATCAGTATTAAACACTGTTTGTATTGGTTTAGCATAGCGCAAAAATATTCTTCTTGGAATGAATCACAAGAAATTTAATCATAAGTTTATACAATAAATTAAGTGTAATAATTTCAAAGGTTAAATGTAATAAATGGTTTTAACTGTTGGAAGAACATAATTGAAATCTAATTCATGAAACTGTTGAATAAGTTCATCCTTCACATATAGAGATGAAATAAGTTCATCCTTCACATATAGAGATGAAATAAGTTCATCCTTCTTTACTACTCCAATATTTTATTATTTTACCCTTCTTGTTTTTATTTTAGCTTAAAAAAGGAAAATTAAATGGTGAAAATGCAATAAATTCTACTAACTTACAAAGTTTTCTTCGTACGTTAGAAAATAATAGAAATTTAATAATTATAGAGCAATGATCTTATATATATATCCGGCTCGAGGGATTGTTCAGTTAGTAATCGAACATTAAATAATAAATTTATAATGCGGCATGCGGAATCGGATAAATTAATGCGGAACTGATGTTGCAAGGAACTATGTGTGAGTGTAAACCGATTATGCATAGAAATGCATTGAGAAATTTCTGGTCAATTGGAGCAAAATTTGCAACGATCGTAAATTCCAATATAAGTTCCAGTTCTGCTGTAT